AAGAAGAAGAAGAAGAAGAAGAAGAAGAAGAAGAAGAAGAAGAAGAAACTGACTAACAATATCCGAATTCCAGAAAATTTAAGGTCATTTGTAGGGATAAAAAAAGAAGTATTTTGGAGGTGTTTTTTTTTCTGGAAAGACCACCATCTCTGTGATGCTCATATGAGCTTGTGCCAGAATTGGCTTTTTCCATTAGGATGTGGCAGTATTCTGTTCAAGGATGTCTGCAAAAACCAGTGAAGATGAGAAAATTGGGACAATGGAGAATCCTACCCACATGGCATTAGATGTAATAAATAGTAAGCTTTTTAGCCAGTGGCATGGGTGGCAGCAGTATGACGGGGCTGACGAATGGAGAGGTGTCTAGGGGATACACTTTGCTATGTACAACTCAAAAGAATGGATGCTAACTTTAAGGGTTCAGTTTGCACTGACTCTTGGTCCTTTCCTCACCTCCTCATGGTTCTTTTTGAGGCACAGAAGTTCCTCCATCAGAGATCGGACTTGCGCCTCCAGGTCAGCCTTGCTCAGAGTCAGCCCATCCAGGATCTGCTTCAGGCCATTGGTGTCGGCTTCCACGAGCTGGCGTAGGGATAGCTCAGCTTCATAGCTTTAAAATCCAGAAAGGGGGGAAAAAGGCATTAGAATGTAGGTGCATGAGGCAAGCTCAGCAGAACTTCCTGCTTCGTTCTCCTCTGAGCCTCTCCCTGAGTGTGTTTCTGGGGAAAAACTTTATTCTTTGCAGCAGTGAAACCATTTGTTCTATGTCATGACTTAGTTATGCTTAAGTTCGTCTGCCAGAGTGACACCATCTTGTTGTCTGTCGAGGTGAGGCAATTTATTTTTCCATCCCTTGCTCTTATAGGCAACAGAGTGTAAGAAAACCATTGAGTTTGGGCTCAGGAGGCTTTGGGTCTACATTTCGTCTCTGTCTGTGTATAATCTATACACTTTTGTGTAAGTTCCTTTCTCATTATACCAAGGTTTTCTTGCCAGGAGCCAGGTTACGAGCGATTGGCCCTATTCATCTCACTGTGTATCTGTATCTCATCACCACAGGTGCTGCGTGCATGTTAGGGTCGTTAATTTTAATCACACTGAGTCTTTTCTGGGGTAGTGCTGGCAGGCTATGGCGTGGGGGGCTCAGTGGCTGTGGGGACAGTCTCGCTGGGAATGTTTAAGGCTGAATCCTATCACCAGTGGCAGCGCTGGGCAGGCTTACTTGGCTCTCAAGTCATCTGCAGCCAGTTTGGTGTTGTCAATTTGTGAGACCAGTCTGGAATTCTCAGCCTTGGTACACAAGATCTAGAATTAAGAGATTGCACACACGCATGAGACAAACACCAGGATTCCCTACTTTAAGAACTAAAGGGCCGTATGTTCCAGTTTCCCTAGTTAGAAGACTAGTTAGAATTTTCCTGACTCTTCAGCATGATGCTTAAGAAACAGGGGCAACATTGGAGAACCAGAGTTCTTATCTTACTAAGAGGGTGGCAAAAAGCATTTAAATAAAATCCTCTGTGCATGTTTTTCTATTAAAATATAGTATATGCTTTTTTTAATCTCTCCCCAATTTACTGTGACATAATAGAATGCAAATCCTGAGGCCAGCTTATTTTCTCAGAGTCTAGAATGGTGGCTCGTTTTTGTTGGTGCTCAGTAAATATTTGTTGAAAAAAAATTAAGTAAACCCAGATGTGTACCAGCAGATCTCTGAACAGGAAACTGAGGTTTGGTGTAGAGACGCACTACTTAAATACTGTCAAGATGACAACAGGGTCATTAAAGGTATGAGCGATTGTAACATGGATGAAAACTAAAACTATTTAGAGATTTAAAAACAAAAACAAAATACAGTTTCTCAGGGCCCTGTTCTCTTATTTTTATTTAAGATGTGGTAGCACCAGATTAGGTTTCAAACCTGAGTCGCTTGGTTATAAAAAGACAGAACACACTCCCAATAAGTAAAGAGAAATGTAAAATTTCGTGTATTGTCTCAAGATAAATTTCACTCCAGAATTTCTTATTCAGCATAGAAGGTTCTAGAGAGAATAAAATTGAACCGATAACCATGGTTTAGAGACCACTGATTCACAATTTGATTCAGCTCTTGGCTGAGTTCTTACCTTCTGCTGCAGCTCCTCAATGCTGGTGTAGTAGGACAGGCAGTCGGCACCCAGGACAGGGAGTGCCTTGTTGTGCTCCTCCTGGATTTTACCCTCTAGTTCCGCGTTCTCTCCTTCCAGCCTCTGCACCTTTTCCAGGTAGTTCGCAAGGCGTTCGTTCAGAATCTGCATGGTCTCTTTCTCATGGCTGTTGATGCCTTCACCGTACCAGCTGCACTCATCCAGACAGGGATGGAAGTTGTAGGTTCTTAACACGTAGTTAGGGGTGCGATAAAGGCAAGGGCTGGGGCGACAGCCCTGGCCCTGGGGAGTTCGTAGAGCATGGCCAGTTGACTGACCGTCATGACAACAGCTAATGTTAGAAGAGTTGGCCTTAATATTTGTATTCCCAGGGCAGTTTTGGGGCGGGGTTGAAGAAGACATAGTCACCGTAGATCCCTTGTTATCCATTGTGTGTGTCCAGCTTCACGTTGTCTCAGAGTCTGTGGTCACCACCCGAAGCACCCTCAACTGAGCCTCAATGCCAAGCCGGTGGCTTTTCTTCTTTGAAGTGCTTATATAGCCTTCCTTCCAGGTGGTGACACAAGAGGCGGGGTGTTTTCCTTTCTAATGTTTATGTTGAATCCCACAGGAACATCTCATTAATCTGCTCTTTACTTGCCGGAGAAGAGTTACTTGTCCCATAAAAATGTGCATTTAGGTGGTTACTAAGTTATTACCCATCGCAACCACTACTTGTCATCGGGTCCACAGCTTCACACTGGGCCTTCAAAAGGAACACCCGTCACACTCTTAACAGCATCCATCATTATGCAGGTGTGAGTGTGGTACGGCCTTTAAATCCTTGCTGGCCTTTCCGCCTGACATTCAGCTTGACCTGGCATGAGTCCAACATTCTTTTCCTTTCTTCTCTTAAAAAAAAAAAAAAGGGAAACTATTAATATCCAATAATTGTCAGCGAACTCAGAAACCAGCATTTCATTTTGGCTTTGATCTGACCAACTCATTTCCCCACTTTTCATCCCTCAGACACGGTGAATATGGACTAGAATGCTTAAACAGGGCCTTTACAAATCCAATTGCTAGGATCATGTTTCAGCTTTCCTGCTAACCAAGACGTTTCTTAGGAAAGAAACTGATTACTTTTTGATTGCCCAAAGTCTCTTTTTATAGCATTCTTATCGCCCAGTGTTTGTGTTACACGATCCTGCTGGGCTTGTTGTGATGTTGAAAGGCAGGCGTGTTATTTCTGAGGAAAAGAGCATTTCGCCTTTTTTTTTTTTTTAAGTTACTTGAGTCTGATTCCTCATGGAGGCCCCAAGAGAGAATGATTTCCCCACATTTCCCAGCTTCTAAAGGCGACCCACATTTACTATGCTTGCATAAATGTCACTTAAAGGTCCATGTGTCATTGGCTTGGTCAACCGGATGTGGCACTATAGGGAGACGGTAGAACCTTTAGGAGGTCGACAGGAAGTTAGAAGAGCATGTCTGTGAAGGGGATATTGGGACCCTAGTGCCTTCCTCTCCATTCCAGTTTTCTCCCTATTGCTGTGGTAAACACCTCAGCCTTAAGCAAGTTGAAGGAGAAAAGGTTCATCTCGCATCTTATGGTCCATCATGAGGTGAAGTCATGGCAGTCACTCAAGAGGCAGGAACCAAAACAGAGGCCACAGAGAAACACTGCTTGCTTAGGTTTGTTCTCTGGGCTCACATTCAGCTACTTTTCTTATATCTCCCAGAATTCCCTGCCCAGAAGAGGCACTGCCCACAGAAGGGTGGACCCTCCCCTATTAACCACTAATCAAGAAAGTGCTTCACAGGCACACCTACAGGCCAATCTGAGAGAGGCACTTTCCCAGTTGAGGTTCTCTCTTTCTGGACGACAATAGCTGTTAGGTTGGTACAAGCTCACCAGCACGCTCTGTGCTTCCTGGCTGCTGTGGCGTAAGCAATTTCCTCCACCACACACTTCCACCATGGTGTGCTGTCACCGTGTAGACAATGGAGACAACTCACCATGGATGGCGGCAGCCTCTGCAAGGATGAGCCAAAATAAATGGTTCCTCCTTCTAAGTGGTCCATGGAGGTATCTTCCCCCCACAGTGATGGAAACCTGATGAATATAACATCATTGGTTTGTGATCCTCTTACATCTTCAAAACCATAAGAGACCCCTTGAGTTTTGCTAACGTCATACCACTCATACACAACTTCTGCCTCTCCGGCCCATTTAAGGACCTCTGCGCTTACCCTGAGACCACACAAATAATCCAGCATAATCAGAGAATTAGCAGCTAGAATAAACAGAAAGGTATGCTGTGTTCTTGATTGGAAACACAGTTTACCTCATTAAATAAAAATCTCAACTGAATCTGTGTTAATTTGATTTACGACTCAGTGATGTATTGAGATCCTTCCAAAAATCAATGTTCTTCAGCTGGGTAAGATAGTTGGACGTTTTATGGGAGAAATCAGTCAGGAGAACAGAAACAGCCCTTTCAAAATATCATAGCAAAAATGCAAAACTTTAGTGATTAGAACGATGTGCTAGTGGGGTATGTGGGCAGTCACACTAATACAATAGACTGAGTAGCTCACGGAGAGAGTCCTAAACAGATCTAGATGTTATGTACGATATACAGGATGCTTAAGACCAAAGGGGAAAATGTAGAGTGCCAGCTGCCCTCTGGGACAATTCTGCATCACCGTGTGGAGGGGAAGAGAACAGTCTCCCTCAGAGCAGACGCATGGTTGAGGGAAGATGGCGACAGCTCCGAACAATGAAAGTTCAGTGGATGCCAGGAGGTGGTGGCGCACGCCTTCAATCCCAGCACTCGGGAGGCAGAGGCAGGCAGATCTCTGGGTTCAAGTCCAGCCTGATCTAAAGAGCGAGCTCCAAGACAGCCAGGGCTACATGGAGAAGCCCTGTCTTGAACAATAACAACAACAACAAACAACAACAACAAGAAAAGTAAAAGAAAAAAAAAACAAACAAAACAAATCCAACCAAACAAAAAAGTGCAGTGGAGGGGCCAGGTATGGAAAACACAGAGCATGGCTCAGGGTACAGCTCGGGTACGATGAAGAGGAGTTACAGGACAAAGCTGGCCAGGTCCAGGCCGAGCAGAATCACTGCCAGGCAACTAAGAACTTCAACTTGTTCCACGGGAATCATGAAACAGTTTTGCATACTAAACTAATATATTCAGTGGCTCTCTCAAGGTTCCTGTACATTTTATGTTTGTTGACTATCTCGAGACGGCTAAAGAAACACGTCAAGATAGGCTATGCAGAACAGCCATGGCATAGCCAGAATGCTGAAAGCGAACTGCTGGTGGGAAAACAGCGGTGACGGATCACCACTGTCCTATCACAATGGAAAGAGGCAGACGATGCCGTCATAAAGGAAGAGCCTCGCAGCTACAGGGAAGAGGGATTTTATGGATGGGAAGCAAACACGCTTACGGGGAAAGGAAAATTGACCACATAGTAAATAAGAAGACATGGGAGAGGCCAGAATAAGAAGTTAATGGATGGACCGTGGCTTTGCAGGAATCAAAGGGAGTCAGTTCAACAGTACAAAATAAGGAAGTGAGTCATGGGTAAAGCATCTTACTAAGAGGGAAGCAGAAAGAGGAAGAGAAACACTAATTTCCAGGCTTGCCATTTTTGGCCCCGAAAGTAATACAATCAATTTGTGGACTGTATATATATATATATATATATATATATATATATATAAAACACTGCAAAAAGATAGTTATCATGGAGAGCCACAAATCGCAAGAAAACGCTACTGTCGGCACAGTTATCTGTCTCCTTCCGGCCTTCTCTATACAGCTTTGAGATTAGGAATTGTCTCACATGTTATAGTCAAGCTTATCAGGATTTTATAGATTCTTAATTTTTGAGCGGCTGTTACAAAGACATTCCCCATTCTGGGGTTTTAAGTGAATCCTGCATTTTTGTTTCAGCATGTCTGTGATTTACGTTTTACATTTGAAAGCTTGGTCTATTTGGAATATGTGATGAAAGTAGTGAAGGTTCATGGGTACAGTTGCAGCCCGTCTTAATTTCTAAGTTTAACTTTGTTTTCTTAGAGTTTAATTTACACTGAGATGCATCAATTGAAAAATATACAGCCTGCAGAGATTTGAAACACACACATACACACACACACACACACACACCACCCAGATCAAGAGACTAGAACATCAAACACCAGCCTTGTAAATTTTTTCATGTTCTTTTCAGCTGGATTCCCCACCCTGCTCCACCCCTCATAGTGGCCTCCACTACAGATACACAACACTGTAGGCAAGCCTTGCTTGTTCTAGAAGCTTACATAAATATCAATCATATTGCTTATGTTCCTTGTTCCTGACTCCTTCATCTCATCACATATCTGAGATTCATCCATGCTCTGATAACTGCGAGCTCATCATTGCCACCCTGTACTATCCCATTACACATTATGGCTCATCTTACTGATATATGCACACACGTCTGGTCTGTGCAAAATGTGTGCGCGCCTAGTGCCCACAGAGGACAGAAGAGGGCATCAGATCCCCTGGAATCGGAGTTACAGGTGACTGTGAGCCATCCTGTGGGTCCGGGGAGCCAAGCCCCACCCCCAGCCTTGTCCTTGGCAAAAGCCAAGTGTTCCTAACCACTGAGGCATCTCTCTAGACTCGAAGACTTTGTTTTCTGACTCAAGATTAGGGGGATAAGGAACGATTCTGAGGTGCTGAAGTTCTAAGTGTTGGGCTTGTATCTACTCTCTCTTCTTTTGGTGCTGAAAATTTGGGATTTCTGAGTAGCAAAAGTTTAACTTCAACTTCTCTCCTGTAAGAGCAAATCTGAGACAGGCATTATTCTCACAGCAGAGACTTCTGGGCATGGGGCTGTGCAGGACAGTGGAAGGTGGGTTAGCAGCCAGCCTGGGGTGAGTAGCTGAGGGCGAGGCAGGGCCTATTTCCCCTCTGTAGCTCCAGGAAAGGGTTCATAATATATCAGAACTTAAAAACTCCCATTACTCAGTGACACCGAGGCCACTGTGATGTTCTGTGAAGCATTTGTGCAGATGCTGGTGCAAACCCACGGTGGTACCAGCCATATGCACTTAGCACATGCCATTATGCGTAGGATATGGTAACAAACTATTCACTGGGCTGTACTTTTAATGATCATCTTAGAGCACATTCTTTCTATGCATAAAGCAGCTTGCTGTAAGACATTATGCTCACCAGGAATGTTGTGCATGTTTGTAATTCCGTCTCGTGGGTGGCTAAGGTGGGAGGATTGTGAGTCTGAGGAGTGGCTGGGCTACCCGGCTATACCCTGTTTCAATGGCAAAACAAATGCAAAACTCCAACAAAGTACTATGTTGTGTTTTACCAGAGGAACCTCATGAAGCTTGTGTTTTCCATAATTCTTTATTGCATCAA